ATAAACATATATTTTTTGTGAAGAGATCTTTTGACAATATAAGCAGTTGTACCACCTATAATTGAAGACATGTGTTATTTATCTTTATCGCATTGTGCATGATGAAGATAATCATGTTTTCGGTTTCCTTTTTAAACTAGCACAATTGTTTTTGCATGTTTTGGAGGGTTTGTGTGAAGTGTTTGTGTCGAATTGTTCAGGAAAACTTAATTGATTTTACAGTGTAATACCCTTTTGCATCTTGTATTTATTTTCATTTTATTTTCTACTTTATAAGTTAAATTCGTATTACATGATCTTTTATGCTTCTTGCATAAACTTGTACATTGTATGTAAATTGCCGTTATATTTCCTCCTGTTTTCCAATATCTGATTTTGTCGAAAATATAAATATAATGATGTTTATATAGGTAATGTAAAACATTTTTAAAGTTTGGGTCATGTTGAATTGTGAATAAAAAGTGAATGTGAAAGAAATAAGAAATAGCCTTATTGAAAACAAAATTTTTATTCATCATCATAAATTTGTTTTAATTAAATTGGTATTATGATACTCTATGTACAAACTGTTTAATATTTTCTTAAGTACAATATCAAAGTCTTGGAGTTTTTATTAAATAATCGTAATCATTAACAAAAAAAGTTATTCAATTATTCAGTTTCAATGCTTTAAACCTTTTCATAAAAAAATCTTTGATTTTACAACATTTTACTACTGTAACTAAAACGGATAAAATAATCATAGACAATTAATGATCCTCCGCGTTCATTGTATATAAATTCATACATTCGTGTACAAAAGTTGGCGAAAGTCTATAAAAGTTAAAAAACTGAAATTATTATTGGGAAATCCACACATGTACTAAACGATAACGATTGGTGTGGAGTGTAAAATATTATATTAATGCAATTTATTGGTAAATAAACGATATTCCTGTTCACAAAGAGGAAGTAAAAGCAGTAATAGCTGTGTCTTGCAGTTGCATCGTATCGTGAGTATCTAATATTGATCAATGCATCGTATCGTGAGTGTCTAATGTTGATCAATGCATCGTATCGTGAGTGTCTAATGTTGATCAAAGCATCGTATCGTGAGTGTCTAATATTGATCAATTATTTGAACGTGGTGCATGGTCACCAGCAGTAAGATTTATGTCTCAAGCGGTGGGGTGGCATGTATATACAAAGGCTTATAATGTATTCGGGGTGACAGTAACTTATATGTGGTATTCCCTGTGGATGTTTGGATTATATCTTCCGTCATTGCTGTCGCCCCCGTAAAACGTACTGATTGTACTCAGCTCGTGACTTCCTTTCCCCTCAAGCCTCTCCCTGCTGCCTTGTTGCGAGTAATAGTCATCACCAGCAAACTCTCTGCTACTGTAGTCCCTGGCATATTCTTTTTTAAGTCTGTCGATGCTTTCACGACTTTGGTATCGAGCAGTATCATCGTATTTGGTCTGTCGTGTTGCGTTATTTTCCGTTGATCCTCGGTGCGGGTTTCTTGTGCTTCTAAAACTACCAGCGCGATAGCTTGCACGTAGGTTATAAGAACCTGACTTCCCTTGATTGTGGGCTGTGTATCGATGACGTAATTTAGCTGAATTATACGAAAGTGTAGCTAAGAATTGAGCCTGTGTGAATAAAACAAAAGGAATATATATTTTTGTTTATTTGATTCTTAAAATCAATTCTTCAAAATTTAGTCACCCAAAAAATCGATTAGCACTCGAGGGTCACTATGTGCCACAGTTTGGGAGCAATTTAATACAGTTGACTAATGATCTTTATTGTGATATTTATTGGTGCACTGCTCTCATACGCAAGTTTAACAATGATAACAGTTGATGCCGTTGGTCCCATGTGCAATATGACCCATGTACACCGGTGTTGTATACCCAAATTCACCACCAAAAAGACACAATATGTGACCTTCGTAGGTCATTCTAATTGCTGGCTGTGGTTAAGTGGCATATCGAGGGGTGCGTGCCCCTCCAAAATTACTCGCCTTCCCCACCCCTCCTCCATTGAAGATTCCCCTCCAAAAATCACGGCCAAGTAGTTAAGAATCGCCTAACTTGCAATAATAATAATATGTTAAATTTTTACATAGCGCTCAACGCCAACATAGCTTCACATTATAACACCTGGTCATTGGATTAAATACCTATGGAACTCATACTTCCTGGGGTAGTATTCCGTAACGTTGCAGCAGCTACATCAGCGCAAGTTTTGGCATTTAACCCTACCAGGTACCCACTTATACTGCTGGGTGGAGAGAACAATTGCAGATCAAGTACCTTGCCCAAGGACACAATTGGAATGCACAACGAGGGTTTAAACCAACCCCGACCTCGAGGTTGGTAAACCAAACCTCTCCCGCTGCGCCAAACCACCAAATTACTATTCATGATCGAATTTACTAGATTAATGACATTTATAAATCAACTTACCAGACCAACACATATGAGTACTGCAGACATTGTTGCCATAAAAAACAAACGATATAGATTCTGAATATAAAAAAAAAGAAATATTAATATTCATAAAGTTGATAATGATGAGATGGAATACGAATAATAATATAATTATCATTATTATATCATATATCATATTATATGCATTTTCTACATATTAATAGACTCTAAAATAGATTAAATAAAAATTTTAAACCCCTGAATTGTCAAAATTTTCGGGGCTTCGTTTCCCCACACCCCTACCCAGACCGCGTTTATAACATTTTAATGACGCTCGGCCACGCTCACTTTGCTCTCGTCGGGGAAATCTTCCCCTTCATCGCAGGAATCGTCCCCCCTCCCGGTGGGGGACCTCGGTCCCCCGTCAGACAAATCCTGGCGCCACCCCTGACATCTCTGGATCCGCCTCTGTCTTTCTTAACTTACCCCGGTACAAAGCTTTTCAAGATTTTCACTACAGAAATCGGAATCCAGTTCTTCTTCATCGTCATCAACAAAACCTTTAGAAAACAAAAAAGAACGCTATAAGTACTGTATGGGTCTAAACCAATTCATATTATGAAATTTAGGAAGGGGAATTTTTTACTAAATACAAAAGATCATACGAATTGTTATGATAATGGGCTTGTGAAGACCTTACCCCACTCTTCGAGATCGATGCAAGTGATGAGCGAGAACTCTTCGACCTGACAATTTGTTTGCTTTTGCACCGAAAAAAACACTACTGGAAACATGCTGACGACTACGACACCCATCCATCCCAGGAAGACGATATAGGTGAGAATTAAGAACTTAAAGAAAATAAAACAAATTGTTTTCAGTTTGAGTGCTAATGAAAATGTCTTGATGAAATCTGGAAAAAACAAGTCGTTCAATTTATATCAAAGCTACGACTCGTTTAAAATAAAGATGTGTATAAGAGACAGTATGTGACCTTCGTAGGGCATTCTAATTGCTGGCTGTGGTTAAGTGGCATATCGAGGGGTGCGTGCCCCTCCAAAATTACTCGCCTTCCCCACCCCTCCTCCATTGAAGATTCCCCTCCAAAAATCACGGCCAAAAAGTTAAGAATCGCCTAACTTGCAATAATAATAATATGTTAAATTTTTACATAGCGCTCAACGCCAACATAGCTTCACATTATAACACCTGGTCATTGGATTAAATACCTATGGAACTCATACTTCCTGGGGTATGGATTTTTAAAACAATATCTTTTTGGTACGTAATGCAACTATATCTGCGCCTAAGCTTTGTAAATACAGATGAAGAAGAAGAAATTTCTGGCGGACACCAAACTATTGTATAAAACTGAAACAAGTAGAGTTTATACAAAAAAAATTAATAGTAAATAAATTTGTAACCACTATTTAAATATAAGTTTTTATTAATTTTAGATTAAGTTTCTTATGCATTGGTCGATTAATATTTTAAGATATATATTTTTAAATTATAATTAAGCTATACGCAAAGTGTGTACATTATAATACTGTTCATTAGTTACGGCAGAGAGTTGTCACTATAACAACTCCCTGGTTACGGTAGGGTATAATTTACATTTTTGTTCACCGTTTGTGGAGGACAGGCAGTTATGATTTGTGTTCTTGAGTACATGTTGTAGGCCCTAATCACATCAGTGCTGCTGTATTCATTTATAGTCTGAGACAGGTGTAATAAATGTGGGGGTCGCCAGTTTAATGTAACTGTGGGTTGCGACCGTGATTTGTAAGAAACAGAGAGGGAGACGGTTAAATTGTCTTTTCCTAACTAAGAATGCATTTCGTATCTTCTGGTACTTGACACTACATTGTACAATTTTGTTAATTATATATAACTATATTTTAATTTTTGTTTGTATTAGTTTGGTATTGATTTTAAAATAGGTCCACTAAAGATAAAAGAACTGCCTATGTGGGGCTAGAAAATGATTTAAAGCTTCTAAACATACAAATAAGTGTTAACGTAATATGATATGTGCTACTAATTTTCTTTCATTGACCTTGTTTTAATTACTTCTTTAGACGATTATGTTATAGGCCTAATGATATTTTTGTCTTCTGATTTTGATTAATGACGAAATAATAATATTTAGTTACCATGTTAATTCTTTGTTGTAATATTTTATTATTACAATATTAAATGATTCATGTGCTGTAATACATTTTGTTTTAATAACTGATTTGATGGGGAAGCAGGTCAACTCGGCCCCAAGTTAACTCGACCCCATGTCAACTCTGTCCCATGTCAACTCGGCCCCAGTCAAATCTGCCCCAAGTCAACTCGGCCCCAAGTCAACTCGGCCCCAAGTCAACTTGGTCCCATCATGTACGATCTTCTAAATTTAAGAAGTCAGGTCTTAATTATGTGAAAGTTATCTTATGTTAAAAATGTTTTTCATTACTTATTTTTTAATCTTGGATATGTAATTCCTGCAAAAAAGTGAAATGTAAATGGCAACTTATTTGATGTTAGATTCTTTTTAAAAACTGAATTATTTCAGTTTAAAAAATATGCATATAATGATTTTTAAAAATCAGTTTTGATACAGAATTTTATCATTGGTTGCGCCATTTTTATCTACCTGTCATTTGGGGCCATTTTTACCGGGGTCATTTTTATTGGGGCCATTTTTTCCCACATTCATTAATTTTAATTGTATTTTTATGATCTTTTTACAGTAAAGCCCGTTGAACGGATGTAAATCTGAAAATGCTCTATATAAAAATATTTTTATTATTAGAAACAAGAAACAGTTAGGCAAAATGAAAGAAAAGAAAAAAAAGTTGGGTGGGGTGGGGTGGGTGGGGGGGGGGTTTGGGGGGGGGGGGGGGGGGGGGGGTAGCCGGCTCCCGCCCCCACCTTTTTCCAATCCGCCACTGGTTAATTTTGATGAATGGAATGTTCAGTCTGCTACATATAATGCCCTTACCGTAGTCGTCTGACATATCCCACTGGATCTACTTCTGAATCGGCAGATATGGTACCTGCGTACTGCACCTGTCGCCAGGCAACCAATCGCAATTAAAACGAATCCTAATATGCTCATGAAAGATGTGGCACCGTAAGTGGCGTACTGGGCTATAGTAAATCTAAAATGATAAATTGACAGTTAATCAATCCTACTACAAAATAGGCCTAACATGTTTTTTTTATGATGCCTAAATAAAGAAATAAAATAAAATAAAATAAAATAATGAGGATGTTTGAATCGAGGCATAGCATGTGTGTACGTGAAACGTTAAATTCGACAATCAAGAACTTAAGAAGTCACATTTTTTTTATTAGTGTTCTTATCCACAACTTTAATTCTACATACAAGTAATAGTAATAATATTAATAGTAATAATAATAATAATAATAATAATAATGATAATAATAATGATAATAATAATAATAATAATATTAATAATAATAATGATAATAATAATAATAAAACATTATTCCTAATGTATATTCATATTGAACTGCAATAATAATAATAATAATAGTAATAATAATAATAATAATAATAATAATAATAATAAAACATTATTCCTAATATATATTCATATTGAACTGCAATAATAATAATAATAATAATAATAGTTATAATGATAATAATGATGATAATAATAATAATGATAATAAAACATTATTCCTAATGTATATTCATATTGAACTGCGATAATAATAATAATAATAATAATAATAATAATAATAATAATAATAATAATAATAATAATAATAATAATAATAATAATAATAAAACATTATTCCTAATGTATATTATATTGAATTGCACTTACATTTGATCAAATTCATCTTCTGCAACCGTTCCTGAAAACAAATCCATCATTTCACCACTAGCGATTGTAACAGTGGCACACCAAACGGCAATTCCACACAAGATAAATATTCCAGCCGAGATGGAGGGCCATGGGTACCGCTGGCAACACCTTGAGCAACAACTACTCTCTGCAAATACATATGAAAAATGTATTTTGAACAGAAATACTTGAAAATAAAATGTATTCAAATCAGATCTTCTTACGTTTTGGGGTGAAGTATCTATCTCTTGTTTTTTTTTTGTTTTTTTTTTAAATAATAATTTCCAATGTTTTTAGATCTATTTTTAATGTTATGGTACGTATTACTTTAACTAAATTAATAATAATTCAATTATTTTCTGTCGTGTAATACTATAAAAGTATAATATATTCTATAATGTTCAATGTATGTACAGTATCTCTTTATACTTTCTATGTAGTAATTTGTATCTTTCTTTGTTAAATGTCTTGTTAATTGGTTCAATTGGGATGTAGATAGAGGTGTTTGATACTTGGTGATCCCTTCCTTTTCGCTGCTTTTTCTGTATTGTTATTTTGTTATTTTTGCTTGTTGTGTGTGTAGTGATGAAGCTTAATAAATCAAATCAAATAAAAATATGGTGCTGTACCAACATGTTTTTTATGACCATAAAATAATAGCCATTAAGTTGGCTTACATTAAACTTTTATTTAATATAAATTTATTAACCACCACTATGTCATGTGAAGATCCTGTCCCATTGGTGGGGCTATGGTTGATTAAAAATCATCTTAACATTTTGGTATCGTCCTCACAATGAACAGTCCTGTATCCGCCCCTGATGCGCGTGACCATATCGTACGGATTGTTTACATCGATTGCTTGTCGTTATATAAAGTCTCCAGAAATTAATAAAACAAATCTTAGTTAATCTAAATTCTCATATACTACAAACCAAACGGTATCACTTAGCTTTTAAATCTATTGAAAACAAGAAAGTATACAAAAGTTAATGACAGTACCAACATACGCGGGAGACAATTGAACAAAGTTTGTGTGATGTTTGTTTATAGGCATTTCTATTTAGAATACACAAATGGGTTTTTTTCTGTTTCGTATTGTGGTATTATAGCAGCGGGTCAACACCCCAGAGTAAAATAGAATTATATGTAATTTTCATAAGCTACGTTTGGTAGGAAATAATTGTCATCATTTGCCATGCTGTTACTGTCTCTATAGATTATAAAACTCATTAGTTAAGTGACTACGGTATATGGATACGTAATAAATATTTAATTTTTCATTACGTTAGGAATCACTTAAAATTCGAGATGCCATCATGGGCGCAGATCATGGGAGATGGGGACCCATATATTTTATGAAGGTTCCCCCTCTCCCACTTTTCGGCGGCAATATGCTTTCATAAGTCAAATGCCTGAAAATTGTTGAAATGAACTGCATAAATGACCCAGGTTTTAACGAAAGAGCCATGGTGGGGCTGAGATGGGTGTGGACTCACGGCTTTAAGTATGTAAAGTAAATTAAATATATGAAGACAATTTTACAAGTTTTATTTTCTATGGTACATCACACAGATTATTTAGATTTCTATGACTGCCGAAAATTGTAGATAAAAGATCGTGAGAAATTTGTTGGCGCTTCATTTTGACTATAATGGTGGTGATGGTGAATTTTAGTAGGCCTATATAGGCCTGAGAATGTCATGTCATCTAGAGAATACTATTTTCTCAAATGTTCTCAGCCCCTGGTTTGAATTAGGCAAAGTAAAGTAAATATATAAGATAATGTTTCAAAGTTAATTTATTATGGTACATCACACATTATTAATTAGATCTCTTGTTGCTGAGAATCGCTGATAAAAGATCATGAGAAATTTGTTGGCGCTTCGTTTTGACTAAAAGGGTGATGTGATGATGATAATTTCTATAATAGTGTCATTTCCGGTCATCTAGAGAACTATTCCCTCAAATTTTCGTATATTCATATGAATCAAATGGTCATTGTAGCGGATTGCAAATTAGTGTGATGATTATTTGGCCTCTACCCTTTTATCTCACCGCTATGTTTTCAAACAACAATCAATAAGATCAACACATGGTCATGAGGTGTGAAACATCGGAGTTGTTGGATTGATTTTAGCGTGTGTGGGACTGTGGGGTCAGGTATTGAGTGTTGTGATCTGACCGACCGTGGGACAAATCAAGTTCAAAAGCGGCTTTATTCCACATTAGTTACACATGCACTACTCGATCATGATCGTCGACCGACAGGATTCCACGGAGATTGCGACACGACGCGCACAACGAATCGTTTTTATAATGAAGACCGTCGCTATTTGCTTATAGAGAGACCCCCTTTAGCCAACATAGCGTTATTTGAATTGTTTTATTCATTTTGTACAATATAGTAATGTATAATATAATGCATCAAATCTTTTGTTTCAGCTCATTGAAATTAGTCATTGGTATCATTTAGGAATTTACTTGTTTTTGAAGCGATGGCTAGAGAATTGCTTTGCTAATTACCGGTCTCGTATTGTTAGTTCTGACCATATGCATTGAACATTGCAATTTATACCCATATGTTTCATGGAATGGCCTACATTAATAGGTGACGTATATTTAATTAATTCGATTAATGAATAATAATGATATCATGAAGTCAGAAGAATGGTATTTCCGCGTTGAATACAATATGCCTATAAGGTCCGGACACATTATTGTAGGTCTACAGTACTGCAAAAAAAACACAAAAACATGCCTTATATCCTAGAGCTGTTATAGTTACTAAAAAAAATGATAAGTCTACTAATAACATGCATATTCTTTTCAGTTGATAGTTTATAGGCCTACTTGCAATCAACCGTCACAACCCTTCAATACAACGTTACCGTATACAATTAATAACTAATAATTATAATAATGAACAACTAAGCAATCGTTATTGAATCGAAAAAAAAAGTGAGTATAAAATAGTCTTACCTTCATCCTCATAATCGCCATAGAGAGCCCCCACAAAAGAGCTATCGAAGGAGGCCGTGCTCCCACCGAACACCATTATTGTTCCAACCTCCCTTCAATCCTCGTTCATATAATGTGTACAAATGAAAAGCTACAAATTTCGAACTGGTAACTCCTTCAACGGAATTTTAAAAATTCAAATCGTTTTGGAACCCAGAATACAAAAATCACTTGGTCTGTCAGTAAATTCCCTCAGTTGATGACAACATTTAAAATCTGAGGTTTGCATTAATTATTATGCATTTCATTGACTCAGTAGACAGAGGAAAATGCAGCTGAACAATGGGCTGAAATTATTCTGAAAGATTATTAATCCTGTTTTCAGTCTCTCTATTCAATTGTTCGTCTGCTGAAAGCTACGGGTTTTATATCACCAGAAATCGATGTTTATAAACGGACTTTGCACCTGTGTGCCCACGTCGGATCAGTCACTAAATGGCGGTATATGCGCCCCCACATTACATTTCTCAGTATTATTTTAGTATTATATATTATTGTTATTATAATTATCATAATCACTATCATCCTCATTTTTATCATTATCATTAATTATTAGGCCGTATTATTATTATTATTATTATTATTATTATTATTATTATTATTATTATTATTATTATTATTATTATTATTAGTATTACTATTACTATTACTATTACTATTACTATTATTATTATTATTATTATTATTATTATTATTATTATTATTATCATCATTTTCTTTTTAATCTCCCCTTTTTTCTTAATTGAAAAATAAAGCAGGGCCCAAGCCGGCAAGGCGCCCTTTAATTTGTCACACTGGATATGATATGATGGTTTGTACCACAGCCGATGTCAAAGACACATTATACTGCTATGTATCAAACTCTTTTTGGTCAGGGTAATAGAGCGAGGACCATATGGGTGGAGAATTTTGGGGCCCTTGGTGGGCGGGGGTTCATGTAGACCTCCGCACGAAAGCGCATGGCATTACGACACTGCATGATGCTTATTTTGATGAGAATTTTAATAAATGGAATTCTTGATGTGAAATACATGTTTCACCATGGAGGAAATATATAAATATATATTTCCTCCATGGTTTCACTGAGATCAGTTGTTTTACAGTTCTTGTTTCAGTGCTTTTATGTGTTTATAATGTTGTATTACTCGAATGAGCCTCTGAGATGAGGTGCATTACTGGACCCATTTTGTTAAGAACATCATGGCATCAAAACTATTGTATTTGAAACATTCAAATGTTAATATTCTTTAAGTCAATGTCTTGGTTTTAGATTAGGAATGATAAGTATTCATTATTACTGTTCCAGGTGATTGGTGTACAGTGAAAAGTGGAGTTGTGAAGTGCATTGCATCTGGCATGAGGAAGATAGAGCGTTGAGGTATACGGGTATTAAATGAAATATAATTATCGGAGTCGATTTTGATTTTGTTATTGATTATTTTATACATGAAAATGAGGCTAAGAAATATTCTTCTGTATTCTAATGTGGTAAGATTGTGTCGGGCAAGTATGTCGTCATAGTTGATATATGCAGTATTGTTTGAATGAGGTGCATTACTGGATATGCTTTGTTAAGAACATCATGGCGTCAAAACTAATGTATTTGAAACATTCAAATGTTAATATTCTTTAAATCCGTGTCTTGGTCTTAGATTAGGAATGCTAAGTATTCATTATTACATGAAAACATTCACTAAATGACATCAATTGTTGATTAAACTTCTATAAACAAAAGAATTTTATTCAACTATATTGAATTTATGCATATAAAATCCCTATACCTTTTAGATCTGAAACGAAATACATTAAAATTTGTACACAACACTTGCGAAGAATACAGTAAACATAAACAAGATACTTGTAAACATTCAGTATACTTGCTTTCGTGACGTTGTTTTAAAGATTGGTTGTTGCATTCATTCAATGCTTGTTGTAAATACAAACTCCTGATATTTCTATCCATTTCAGTGACTGGATTTGTTTCATTTGTCTATATTTTCTAATTATCTAGATAATATTTTTACACCGTTGGTTGCAAAATGTCATACTGCGTCACCAGAATGGTGAACATCATACCGTGGTCCAAAACCGGACAATTTCCATATTTGGAACCTGAAATACCAGGTATTTGTAAGTAATTAAAAATATAGCAATTCGTTGGTGACAAACTTTATTTGTTCCAATTTTTTAGCAACCTAAGGTTTCATAAAAATATAATAAACCGTATATCTTAAACTGTTTGAAGGAGTTTGATTTAACCCTCTGTGTTCGTCATACATAACTATTATGTACATACATGCCGACAGACTTGCCAGCCAAAAAAAAAAAAAAAAAAAAAAAATTAAAAAAAATTAAAAAATTGGGGCTCGTCCGGGAATCGAACCCGGGACCTCTCGCACCCGAAGCGAGAATCATACCTCTAGACCAACGAGCCAACCACCAAGAGAGGGCGTTCCTTAACATTAAAAAATGTCACGTATAATCTGATAGAATCAACGGAGTTTGGTTATGAAGTAAATAATAGGAAAAAAAACCTCCGCCAAAGCCTCTACTAGTTCTACACATGTATTACCAAGGAGGTATAAAGTATTACCACATAGGTATATCGCTATCCTTTCGGATGTTACAACAATGTCGCATCCGGCAGGCACAATTCCCTGCCGCAGACCAGCTTGACTCCGCCAGGTTGCAAATAGCCAAGTATAGGATGCAATGGCAACAGGTCAAAACGGCAAAAAACCAAAACGGCAATGTCAAAATGACCAAACGGCAAAAAACCAAAACGGCAACACTTTTAGACCGAAGGGCAATGGACCAAAACGGCAAGACCAAAACGGCAATAAATCAAAACGGCAATAAACCAAAACGGCAACATTCCCAGAATGACTCGGCTGTATGGTAATTGGCAAACTAAATAAAATACTATTATGCTACTAGGCCTAGGCAGAGAGTCTAAGCCGAGGGCTTAGTAAAATGATTGGGGGAATCACAATATAAAAGCAGTAAACTTTTAAATAATTAAAACTTTAAAATACAGACAAAATGAGGCTAAACAATTTATTTATGTCATGAAAGTAAAAAGCGCGAAAACACTTAAAAAAATAATATTAATAATAATAAAACTAAATAATAATAATAATAATAATAACAATAATAATAATAATAATAATAATAATAATAATAACAACAACAACAACAACAACAATACAACATACTTCAACAGTAAGAAAGATTGGGGAACACAATATAATATACGGTAGGCCTACAATATAAAACCATTGAATATTTAAAAAATTAAAACCTTAAAATACAGATAATATGAGGATAAACAATTTATTTCATGAAAGCAAAAAACGGGAAAGAATAATAATAATAATAATAATAATAATAATAATAATAATAATAATAATAATAATAATAATAATAATAATAATAATAATAATAATAATAATAATATTATTATTATT